TTTGGAAAACAATTGGCTTGATAAAAGGGTTAATGTACACAACAATACCGATAGTTTTCCGAGATGTAAAATTTATCCGTGCTATTTATTTGTCGAAAAATGATACTGTGGAACTATATATTGCAATACAAACAGGTATTTAGATCAGTTATATTTTAAATGGATTTTCCTTGAAATTTCCATAGCAGTATTTGCAGGTTCATTGTACCTTAAATTATTGTTTAAACATTTATTATAATATAATTCTTTACGAGGAAGTTGAAAAAATAATCTGAGTCCGACGAATTAGCGAATACAGATTACGGTCAATGTAGTACGATGACAAAAATGAAGTATAATCAAATATAAACAAATATTACAGATGGAAAGTTTGAAATAACGGAAGGAGATAGCGTTGTTGTCACAGGTACAGTGTATGAGACATTGAATCCAGAACAAGAAATGATTCCGACAGATCTATTACCAAAGACTAGTGATGTTGATGAAGATATGACTGCACGAGATATCTACAAAGAGTTGAAATTGCGTGGATACCAGTACAGGGGTTTATTTCGTGGATTAAGGAGTGTCTCTGTTTCGGGAACCCAAGGACATATCGCTTGGAAAAGTAATTGGGAAACATTTATGGACATGATGTTACAAATGCTACTTATCCGATATGACACCAGGGATTTGTATGTTCCAACGAGTATACAAAAATTAGTCATCAATCCAGTGCTTCATGCTTCGAAGCTACGGGAAAGCACAGATAATACAAAAGTTACAACAGATATGGAAAAACGTAATTGACTGTCATTATTAAAAGTCCATCGTCAATTCGTAAATATTATGTAAAAGATCTTCATAATATGAAGCGTATTATTTTATTTGTCTTATTACAGTATTACAGGTACGACTATACAAAGAGATAGACACGATAAAAGCTGGTGGTATAGAAATTCAAGGACCGAAATCTACTCAGATCTCTCGTCGGCAATTAGCCCAAGATGCTGTTATCGAGGAACATACGTTTGTAGCTCACTGTGATCGCACTAATATTTCCTTGAACGAAGCAATTCGGTTATCTGCTCAACTCGTACTGGAAGATCATCAAATTATAAAAGTGCAAGCCGCTGAACTAGTAGAAGATGTCGATGATGTTGAATTAGAATATCTTTCATCTTCGTTGCTACTCGAAGCATTTCGTGATATACCACTGATACAAGTGAATGTCACTCTATTAACATCATCAAATCGTTTCAAGCCAGAAGACTTACCGCAAAACTTCTCAATCAAAAATTTTGAAAAATCATCTTTAGATGACAAAACTTTAATTATTGCTGGATTCAATCTTTTGACCAAACAACATACATCGTTACAGCGACTGTTGCCATTTTTAGGAAAGGGTGGTTATCTGTTGACGCGTGAGAAGTGCGACTTAACTGATTATAAAAAACATTTGGAGCAGTACGAATTAAACGTTATACTCGAAAAACGTACTGATAAAGAACTAATTGTGCTTCTAAAAAAAAAAGTATCGATAAGAGAAAGGACTGTTGTTTACATAAGTAATGATAACTTTAATTGGCTGGAGAATCTAAAGTCGCTTTTGAGCGATGAGAACAAGCTTAACAAAAATAGTAGAATTATAATTGTGGGAGAGAAAAATTTTGAGTGCGGTTTATTGGGTTTTATTAACTGCTTGAGAAAAGAGCCATGTGGCGAATTTGTTAGGGGTGTGCTCCTTCAAGATGAACAGGCACCTAAATTCTCTCTTCAAGACCCCTTCTATCAAGAACAATTACAGAAAGATATGACCATTAATGTGTTGCGATCTAATAAAACTTGGGGATCGTACAGACATTTAAAATTGCCGCGACCCGAAGCCATATCTGTACCTACCGCTCATGTCTGTCAAAGGGTAAATACAAACTTTTTTTAAGTATTGTTCATTATCGTTATAATATTATCTCTTGTTTGTCTTTTAAATGCAAAATTCTACTTGGCAAATGGAAGATCGAATGCTGTCACGAAGCCTTTTAAAATTCTATTCTATATACGTCGTATCATAATACCAAAATTTTATTTCTTCACAGATTCGAGGAAATTTAAGTACATTCTATTGGGTAGAAAATAATTTATCTGTTGTGTCTTGTCGTGAGGATTTAGTGCACGTTGTCTACTCATCTTTGAATTTTAAAGATATAATGCTCGCCACTGGTAAATTGACAATTCCAAATACGAGTTTAAAAGGACGATTGTTTCAGTATGTTCCTCTTGGAATGGAATTCGTGGGTTTCGATGCTAACGGACAACGTATAATGGGAATTCGTGACACTGAGTAAGTAATGCTACAAGAAATTATTGTGCTGTGTAATAAGAACGGACACTAAATAAAAGTTACACTTTCTAGTTGCATAGCAAACGTCGTTACGAAGGATAAAAATCTTTGTTGGAAGATACCCGACGTGTGGACATTTGAAGAAGCGGCATCAGTCCCGTGTGTTTACAGCACGGTTTATTTATCCTTATACATTTATGGAAAAATGAAAAAGGGCGATAAAATACTTATACATTCTGGTACTGGAGGTATTGGACAAGCAGCTATTCATCTCGCTCTTAAAGAAGGATGCGAGGTGTTTACTACCGTCGGCACAAGTGACAAACGGAGCTTTCTTAAGAAAATGTTTCCGATCATTCCGGATGATCATATTGGAAATTCTCGAGATACAAGTTTTGAACACATGGTTATACGCCAAACGAAAGGGCGCGGCGTCGATATTGTGCTAAATTCATTGGCGGAAGAAAAGTTAATCGCGTCTGTTCGATGTTTAGCTCAAAACGGTCGATTCTTAGAGATTGGAAAATTTGATCTTGTATCTAATAATTCCCTGAATATGTCCGAGTTTAATAAAGGAATTAGCTTTCATGGAATTCTACTGGATAATATGTTCACTGGTGATCACAAATATAAATTCCTATTGTTCAAAATGGTAGCCGATGGTTTAAAAAATGGAACAATCAAACCAATTCAAGCAAAAATTTTTCCAAAAACTGATATTGAAGAAGCTTTCAGGTTTATGGCCAGCGGGAAACACACGGGAAAGGTATGCGTGAATAACAACAGAAGAGTTTATTCGCAAATTAAAGCCTTATATAATCTTATTGACATGCATAACGTGCATTTTTGAAATATGATTATTTTTATAGATAATTATAAATATTCATGAGAAGGATGAACCTTTAGATAAGCACATTCTTGCGTATCGTCGCTATTATTGTCTCAAAGATAGGAGTTACATTATACTAGGAGGCCTGGGCGGATTTGGTTTAGAATTAACAGACTGGCTTATATTTCGTGGTGCCAGAAACATTGTTCTGATTTCAAGAAATGGAATAAAAAACGGTTACCAACGTATGAAAGTTCGATTGTGGAAATCGTATGGCGTAAATGTTCTGATCATCAAGAATATCGATGTTGCTGACCTCAAAGATTGCGAATATCTTTTAAGGACTGTAGAAAAAGAAGCTCCGGTGGACGCTATATTCAATCTGGGTGTGGTACTGAGGGATGGCGTCCTCAAAAATCAATCCGCACAAACATTTTCAGAGTCCTTCCAATCGAAGGCTCGTGCAACGCAAATGCTGGACAAACTTTCTAGGAAAATCTGTCTTAACCTTCGACATTTTGTGGTGTTCTCTTCCGTTTCCTGCGGCAGAGGAAACGCTGGCCAGACGAATTATGGCATGGCCAATTCCATTATGGAGAGAATTTGCGAGAAGAGAGTGGAGGAAGGATTACCAGGGTTAGCGATTCAATGGGGAGCTGTGGGTGACGTGGGTCTTGTCGCTGATATGCAGGAGGAGGATAAGGAATTAATCATTGGTGGTACTTTGCAGCAAAAGATTTCCTGCTGTCTCGATGAGCTCGATAAGTTTTTACTTCAAAATCGGCCGATTGTGAGCAGCATGGTCGTAGCTGAAAAAAAAATTGGATGTCAAGGAAATCTGGTAGAAACAGTTGCTAATATTTTAAGTAGGTGCTCCTATGGGAACTTATTCTTTTGCAAATATTTATCATATTTGTTTGCTAGTCTAATTTACGAAAAAAGCGTTATAGTATTGATTAGAATAATTTTATATTCTATATTGTAGACATAAGTGACATAAAAGTTGTAAGTCCAAATTCATCTCTTGCCGAACTTGGAATGGACTCCATGATGGCTGTAGAAATCAAGCAAACTCTGGAACGAGAATTTGATATATTTGTCACAGCACAAGAGATACGAAATCTTACTTTCGCAAAACTCATTAAGATGTCTATTACAAGCATCGGTGACAATGATGTGGATGATGATAAGAAATTTGACATAGAGAAGTCAGACGGTTTAAAACTTTTAGTTGGTATTACATTAAAAAATGAAGACTTTGTTTCCCCAACAGATTTTTCAACTAACAGACAGAACACTACGACTGAAGTATTTCTTATACCGGGTATTGACGGATGTGGTCCTGTATTTAAAACCATAATACCATGTATTAAATATTCAACATCAGTTTTGCATTATACGACAAATAACATCAATTCTACAAATATGATATTGGAAACGACTAATCAACTCACAAACGTATGCAATAATCACATTACTAATTTCATTTTATGTTGATAAAAAATTGTTTTCATTGTTTTAATAGATATAAATTTCATTGAATACTTTTTATATTTTTACAGCATATACTTTCAATACTAACAAATAGAAAAGATTTTGTAATGGTAGGGTATTCCTTCGGATCTCTTATCGCAATTGAAGTAACAAGGAGATTGGAAGCTATGAATTTTAAAGGTCGACTTGTTCTCATCGACGGTGCTCCTGACCTTTTGCGAACAATAATCAAATCTTTTGAATCTGAGTTTGATGATACAAATTTTCAGATTGATGTATTAACTAATATTATGGAAATCTATTCACCAGGAAGTTCTGAAAAGGTAATGCAATCTTTGTTTCGAGACTCACATTAAAACTAGTTTATGGTATATTACATTTCGGTATTTTTATGTGGATCATTATCAATTTCTTCGTTCTGTCTTATGATCTTGTACATAAAAATAGAAATTTATATTTTCGTAGATTTCAATGGAATTGAAAAAATGTGAGAGCTGGAACGAAAGAATTAATATTTTCGCGGAACAGTTCTCAGTTATATATACATATCTGTCACCTGCAAATTTAAAGACGCTTGTTACAACGATTTACAAACATTTATCCGCTCTTCGAGAATATGATCCTTCTACTTTGCCGCCTATTAAGTCTCCCATAACGTTACTAAAATGTATATCCTCGTTTAATATACCAACAATTAGAGAAGACTATGGTTTGAACAAGGTAAAATTTTTGAAAATTTGCTATAATTCGTACTGAATAAATCAACAATATTTTTTGTTAATAATGTATGTATTTATTTAAGGTAACTCAAAATGTGATAAAAATACATTATCTTGAAGATGATCATGTGACGATCTTGAAGAATAAAAAAGTAGTGGCTGCAATTAACGGAGAACTACCATTTACAGTTTGATATTTTAGTTTTTAAATCATATTATATTTAAAAACTTCTCGAAAAGACCTCTATTATATTATATTTTATGTATATATATATATATATATAT